GAAGAAATCTACAATTACAGATTATAGTCCACCTCTTTTCTTGCCTCCGTTTGAGCCCATTCGTCAATGGTCAGGACCAACACAGATCAAGTGTTATTTTACTGATTGGTGTAGTGGGTAGCACCTCTGCCTTCTATGCTGTAGACTGGGGTTCAAAGCCCTGCCTGGGTAAACACCCTACACTATACCAATAAGAGTCCTTGGGCAAGACTCCTAAAACTGCCTTCACCTACCTGTGTAAAATGATCAAACTGTAAGTGGCTCTGGAGTGTCTGCCAAATGCTATGACCATAAGTGGTGGTGGATCATTCTCAGCACTGCAGTGACGGTCATAAGATGTTAGTGAGTGTTGTGTTAGTACAAGTGGATAAGACACAGCAATGCTACTGAAGTTTCTATCCACTTACTGTGCACCCTGTTAGACACTCCTACATAGCACAGTGTGTGTTAGTCATCCTATGGTCCTTCATCAGTGGTTAGTTTCTGACCACAGGTCACTGGATATCTCTCTTTGGTGGACTGTTCTATGTCCAGCAGTGACAGAGTTGTTTTAAAAACTCTAGTAACTCTGCTGTTTGTTTCACTCTGTGCAGCACACTCACGCTTGTGAAATATGCTACAGAGAGAACCAGTTAGCTTGAAAATCAGTTGAGACATAACAGTTATGACAAATAGGCGAATCAAAATCCAAAAAAATCAGTAAAAAGTCATTAAATAAATAAACAGCATCAAAATTTACGACTCCTACAAGCACAGATGACTTCATTCAAAATGTTTACTGGAACAGATTTACATACCTCGACATGCTTTCTCAGAACAGACAGCAAATTTTTGAAGGAATTAATGAAGTTTGTGCACAGTAAACAGAGCAAACATTCAAAACGATACAGATCTTTCTTAATTTCATAAATCTCAAACAAGGATTTCGGATATGGCCGTGGGCGCTCTGGTGAGGAAACCTTGATCATCTTTATCTGCGGTATTAATTTCGACAGGGTGGTCCTATTTCAGTGGTGGACATTAACTAAGTAAATGTAATTTGTTACTGTACTTAAGTAGTTTTGACCTGTTGGACATACCGACCCACTGCAAGCACACGGTTCAACATCAGTGCAGCACTGTAAAATTTAGGGAGTGTCTATTCAACATAAATGATGAACTAACCTAACTTTGTGTAAATAGACCACAATATAGAAATATGTACATATGCAGTTGTGACTGACGTGTCTTTTTTTCTGAATTCATACAAACACTATTTTCTAGTTTTTTTCAGAGACCTACAGATGCAGTTTAGTAAAGGAAACTCATTTGTGAACCTGAGTTTAAAACAGGTTTTTATTAAACAAACTTGTAACTAAGTTAAATAAATCTTAAACTGAAACTTTGCTTGTTTGTAAAAAGGTTATTTCAGAGCCACTCAGTTCTACCTGATGGAAACTGTTTGCCTTCAGTGTTTTGTGCTTATGATAATTTTAATAGACATCAGCATCACTAATTAATGACATTCTATTAAAAGACTGGTTTACCAAGAGAGACACTGGAGTATTTTCACCTAAAATGAGTTAATGAAGCGAGTCTTGTTACAAAAATGATGACGATGAGCACCGAGACTCGAGTGAGTGACACACACATGGGAAGGACGAGGTGAGACACAGCAGTCGAAGTAGAAAATGAATCAGATTATTTCACATATCGTGCTCTAAAAAGAGAAAACTGACCATAAATATTGTTGAAATATGACTGAATTGTACTTAATTTGATTTGACATTCAGTTGTTGACTGCATAAGATGTTGATATACCTACTAGGCTACTTCAGTAAACAGTATATGGCACTGAATCATGATGTAAGTTAGACATTATGATGTTCCAAACCTTTGCTTGAGGATATTTTCTCTGGACCTTATTGAATTTTGATTAAAGAGCCCTGGTATAGCCCATCACATTTGTAGAAAATCTTTGATCTTGCCATGGAAGAGTTTCAGGAGACCGGGGTTTGCAGAAATAATGATGGTTTTATTAAAAAGAGAGAGCTCCAGTATACCTGCCTTAGTCTCACCCCAGTCTAATCAGCAGCTCAGACGCACAGCTTTTATGCTACGCCACTGACCCCCCACCCTCAATCATACAGAACAGAGTGGGACATTTGAACCCTGTCGTAAAAACCTAACTGTGTTCTGCTCCAGCACATCCTCCTTAGGGGGTGTTGTAAGTCCTAAACCCTTCAGCATTAATACTGTTTAACAATGAATAACAATTAAATCAAAAGAAAATAAACAGAAAACTCAAAAATAAATAAAAATAAAACAATTCCCAACACATTTTAGAAAAAAAAAAAATTCATTTGCTGACTTTAACGCTGCTTCAAAGTAATCAAGAACCTTCATAGAAATGTGTCACCTTTTATCTCTCTGCGTTTTAGTAGCAGATAGATAAATACAGTAAATTCACAGTAAACATTAAATATTTGGTGGTCATTTTACAGAAAACGAAACATAAACAAAACTAAAATCAGATTAACCTCTGTAATTACTTACTGTTACTTACCGCTTAAGCTGATGAAAGATCAAAGGCTAAAAGCTTAACCATGGAGAGACGTCTTGGGGAGAATTTAAAAGTAACTTAAGACAGGACAGGACCGTATCCGTTTTCGTGTAACTGCTGATATCTTACACACCATATGCCATTTTAGAACGAAAGCAACATTATTTTATTCGCTCTTTGTTTGACTTTTGTGGACTTTCATCAGCAACATGAAGGCTGTGTTTGAAATGTAATTAATGCTGCCTGCTTATACAGTAATCTGAGGCAGGAAGGCACCCAGTAACATCTGAATCAAATGTCTGTGTAAAACACTGTCTGCTGAGGTTTCATTGTAGATGTATCTTTCACTGCATTGCATATCCCATAATCCTTGGTGTCCGCGCCCCTGCGGTTACACCATGCTAAGGCACTGACTTATGAGGCAGCTGAACTCTGACTAATTACACTCATTCTGAGAATTTTAATCTCAGAAATCAGATCAAACGGGACTCAAACTGGACAACAAACATCGGTTATAGCCCATGTAGAAGCTCTCCAAAATCAGTTAACCCTCTATTGCACGGTGTTGCCATAAGTCATATAGTCATATAGAGCTCCTCTACAAACAGGCCTGCTATCATTGGCAGAGATGGGTAGTACGTAATTATACAGGGTGATTCAAAAAGATTCATCTGATTTCAAAATGATGGATTTCACTTGTAAATTATTACAGATCAATGCAGTAAACTCTAAATGGTTTAAATGAGCATAAAGTTTATTATGTAATTGTACAAGTGCTCAGTATGAACCTCCTCCAGCTGTACAGACAACATCAACTGGTACCATTGTACTTCTACTGAAGTAGTTTTTTCGAAATGGTACATTTAGTTTAATCTCAGAAATCAGATCAAACGGGACTCAAACTGGACAGCAAACATCGGTTATAGCCCACGTAGAAGCTCTCCAAAATCAGTTAACCCTCTATTGCACGGTGTTGCCATAAGGCAACAATTACTTTATCTCAATGTTACTATAAAAGCAGTAATATAAAATCTGTTTTCCTATTTAATTTGGAAAAAAAGGGTCTTTTACTTTGAAAGGACAATTACTTCATGACATCACATGACCAGGAATTTTTGTTATTATGTTGTTAATGCCATACATTCCAAATGACAATTAAAAGGATGTTTTTTTTTAGAGAAAAATTTGATTTTATTGTGCTTTTTCTTTTAGATTTTATGGTATGATGGTACGATTGCGCATTGTTGCCATATGGTAACAGTTTACAAAATACCCCACTTTTTTTTAATAGTTCTATTCTTCAAGCATTTTAAATAACAAAAACACATTAAAACACATTAAAACATTTTCATCATGTTTATGTAATAGTCATGCACTAGAGGGTTAAAACTGAGTTACGGAGAGCCGGGCTGTGAGTGAAAGAGTTCATAAAAGTCATCTGAAATGAGGTGGAGAAACGTTCCGTTCTCCTTTTGCTTTTCCAAAGTGAAAAGCATCCTGCTGATTCCACAGGTTTCCAGAATCAAAGAACCTTTGGACAGAAATTCGACCGTTTTTGTTTGTTTGTTTGTTCCCCATGTTGCGGGATTCCAAAAAAATAGCATCTCATCTGACGTGTATAGTTTTGATGCGGAAAAACACAGTCCAAATATTTTGCATTGGAGTTCATTCGAATCACATTCGGAGTGTAACAGCTTTGACTTCTTCCTCCATAAGAGAGAAAGAACTCCCAGAGCTTCAGCTGTAAGACTGCTTATCGCATAAATCATGATTGCTACTCGTGTCTACAGTGGAACTTATGATTTTACCCAGTTACATGTCCAAAATGAAAAACCTGGTTTTTACTCTTTACATTTTCATTTAGACCATCAGTCTAGTATCTCTGCACATTTTCCATCTTGCCCTATAGCATCAATCCCTCACGGGCTCCATGTATATGTAAAAAAACCAACAACTGGATAAAATTCACAGCTAAGCAAGTCAAAGAGAGTGGAATGCAAACTCTGCAGAAAGCTTTTTTATTTGAGTACAGCTTAGAATATAATATACTGTACCACATTAAAAAATAATAATTGTAATACATTTTATCTGTCACAAAAGAAAAAAATGAATGAAATTGTCCATTTTGGATTCACACAACTCAAAGTTTATAGTCAAAACATCTGTTCTTCTACATTGTCATAGTCTTTATTTGAAGGTGGGGTGAGGGTGAAGAGTCATATAGAGCTCCTCTACAAACAGGCCTGCTATCATTGGCAGAGATGGGTAGTACGTAATTATACAGGGTGATTCAAAAAGATTTATCTGATTTCAAAATGATGGATTTCTCTTGTAAATCATTACAGATCAATGCAGTAAACTGTAAATGGTTTAAATGAGCATAAAGTTTATTATGTAATTGTACAAGTGCTCAGTATGAACCTCCTCCAGCTGTACAGACAACATCAACTGGTACCATTGTACTTCTACTGAAGTAGTTTTTTCAAAATGGTACATTTAGTTTTGCTTCAGCAGAAGTAGCTATGCTCTGTCAACCTCTGGTCATGCTTTGACAAAAGGTTATGATGGCATGAAGGGCAGTTGTGAAGTCAGGAACATCTGAGAGGGGCTTGTAGTGACATCCACTGATTTTTCTCCAGAGATAAGTTCTGTTTTGCTTCAGGTCAGGAGTGCTGCAGTGTTCCAGTGGACCAACTAGAAAGGAGTCTTCCTGAGCTGTTACGATGCATCTCTTCCCTTGGATCTTCATAGCATTCGCTAAGACTACGAAGCGCTGATTCCCCTTCACTGCTGAGCTCTTCACTGTTCCCAACATCACTGAAAACACAGACGCTCAAATCTGAAGGGATCCAAAATCACACAAATGCAAAACTAACCATTTACAAAACCACTGTTTCACTTCTGCGTTTAGTAGGGGTGGGAATTTCTAGGCACCTCACGATTCGATTCAGTTACGATTATAAGACGATTATCGATGCATCTTTTTTTCTATACAGGATTTTTTTTTCTCACTGTGTGAGGACTTGGTACTTTTAAAGCAAAGTATTTGTAATGATCCATAATGAATTTACTTCCAATATCTTTTATTAATAAAACAAATGGAAGTGATGCAGCAAGTGAACTCTAAGGCTCTCATTCACTGCTCTTATTTGGAGCACATGAGACGCTGCTGCCACTCATCTGCGATAAAATGTGCTGTTACGGTGAAATAAGATCCAGTAGCAATAGATGTCCACACAGCACATTACAGCCATACCGCCTGTTATATATATATATATATATATATATATATATATATATATATATATATATATATATATATATATTGTAACTTCGGTTTTGGTCTTGTTGTAGAGAGTGGGGGGGTCGCCGTGTCAGTAAAATATCTTTGAGATGGGACGTGTGCAACATAGCGCGAAAGCCCTAGTTCTCAATGACTGCACTGAACTGTAATGAACTGGCGTGCAGACTGCAGGTCACATAGCAGCGCAGTCTCGCCAAGCAAGTTGCAAAAGAAAAGGCAAAGAGAGATTTAAGATGAACATTTGGAGATGAATGGACTTATTCGCATTTATAAGTACTGCAGTTGGTTTCCTGGAACATTAAACCTGCAATGAGTGACTGTCAAACACTAAAAAGTTGCGAAGACGAAGTCGCTTCTCTTTCAAATTTTTCCGTTCCACCTTAAATGGTACTGCATTTTCATTTGGTGCCTCAGGCGGAATTTAAGGTGGAATGGGAAAATTCAAACAAGAAGCTGGAGAGTAAGAAGCAACTTCAGCCTCGTAAAACAGTCGAACGCTGAGACATTTTACAGTATGCTGCTCTACTTCTGAGGAAAAGTTTCCTGGCGGAGATGGAGGAAAGCGGCTATAGCTGAAGCTTAAAGCAGAGCAAAGTAAGTCTGTGTTTTAGTTTATATTGTTTAGCCTATACTATGACGTTATCACATACTGAGACATACTGGACATTAAATGTTGTGGCTCCCAAGGTGGTTTGATTTTTGTTGAAAGGACAAAATGGCTCTTCTTATCATTTGTGCTGTGACTCCTGACCTAACCTAGCTTTTAATGCAGAGGGTGCCGGGCGGATTTCTCGCTCATTCAGTTGTGTTTTTGTTATTTGCCACCACAGACTGCCCGGGCGCTGCACTTACCCACTTCCAAGTTCTGCTTTTTGCATTCCATCAACATTACGTTATCAATTAAAATTTAGAAAATCTATGTTTAACATTTGTGAATCGATTCAGAATCGTCCACGTCCGCATCGCGATGCATTTATGAGATTTTTTCCCCACTCCTTGCGTTTAGAGTAATTTATGGTAATTTTTGGATTAATTCATTTTTGGAGTATATTCATTATCTTTCTGTCAAAACTGAAAAGTAGTTACCGGTCATGCTGCAGATGGCAGATAAGTTGTAATCCATCCAGGGTCGAAGTGTGAACTCTGGAGGGAGATAAAAGACTATGCTATGAAACGAGGTCACCCTTAATGTTTTTTTTATCAAAATAATGCACTTTTAACAAATCAGAAACAAACATAATGGTTCTCAAGAGTAAGACTGAGATGGGCTTCATAGGTTTGCTCAGGAGTGAATTTGCAGTACCTTCCGCTCCTGCTCGTGTGCCTGTTCTGTTTATTGGTGTGGGAACGAGTCGTCCAGCACAGCAGCTCCATATGGATGTGTTGTAGTACCAGTGCCCGCAGCACGAATGGCCAGGCTGAGTCATATAGGCCAGAGTTTTTTGTGCTGAGTGGCAGCACTGCTGGTTTCTCCTGTCTGTCAGCAAGAGAGGACCACAGCACCCAGCCTCTTCTTTGTTCTTCAGGAATGACACGTCATGGAGTTGACCAGAGCAGCACTTGTGTCTATAAGCGCTAGCACTATACGTGTAAATCCCACAGCAGGTCACGTCCGCCGCTGACCTTTTATGTCTTTGTACAGAGGATAAATACATTATGAAACATCTAAGCCACAAATAGAAAACATGCTATGCATTCAGGCAAGTTGTGCTTAGGTCTGGTATCTGATACCTGGGTTTAGGTTGGTTTAGTGCTACTGTAAATTTTCTTCTAATAATGTAAGCGCTAACATAGTTAATTCATTAGCTGCAACTAGTTGCACTATGTGATAACTACCTGTAAATAGATAATAAAATGAACAGAACAAGAAAATTAGAGCTGAGAAAAACAACTTTTCTCCTTGTTTTCCAACAATGTGCTCTGCTTAAGTTTTCTTTTGTGTTGTTCTGTAGGAATCGTGCTGCCTTCATTAACACATAATCTAAATAATGCTTGTAAACACTGGTGAAACTGAAGGCAGTGACTCTGAATGCATTCACTTTTGATACTTTAACAATATCACTTAGGTTATTAGGATATTAACATATTTAACCAAGTTATCCTTAGGCTATTTCGACCACAGAAGTAAGTGCTAATGACTATGCACTTACGTGAAAGGTGCAGCATGGTTTAAATAACAATTTTTTGGAGATGCTTTGGGTCTTTGGTTTTTTGGGGTAGGTCGAACAACAAAACCTCCAACCCCACCCCTCCCCCCCTTGGATGCCTTCCTGGCTGCCAGTATGACTCCCCACCCACTTTCCTTCTTTGAGATGCTGAAAAATGTCACTGAAAAGGGGGAAAGAAAGACAGTAAATAGAAGACGGTTTGAACAAGGTTGATGTCCTGTACCTGTGCCCATTGCAGCAGATCTCCTCGTTGGGGTCAAAGGTCTTTGTTCCGCAGCACTGCTGGCCTGCAGGGTAGGTGTGCTACTTTCTGGCAGATGGTGTAATTGTGCAGAGAATACGCTATGTTCCCAGCACACGTGGAGTCTGCCGGCTGGTCGTGATACAGCTGTCCATCACAGCACAGCACGCCCTCTTCTGACAGTTCGTATGATTTTGCACCGCAACACTGCAAAGCAGACGCACCTTAGTAAACCAATGGCAGGAAAAAAAACAAGAAACCTATGGATCATCTGAAAAATAACTGGGGGGAAAAACGAGTGTCTTGTTTTTAAAGATCTCCATGTGCTCAGTTTCACACTACAGTCCATCAAGAACAAAAACGTAGTGAAACTTACTTGCGTTAGGCCTGCATTGTTTGGAAACAACTTCCCTGAACAACAGGTTAACTTGTGAGGATCGTACAACTGCTGTCCACAGAACTGACCATTAAAGGGATCTAAGCCTGTAGTTAGGTACAGATAGAACAAGCAGGTGGGAAAGAGATGCAGAGGAAGAGAGTGGACTAAGAATGTGGATTGCTAAGAAACAAAGAAAGGATGAGTATTCCCAAAAGACTCAGACAAGAAATACAACTGGGTCATTTTTAACACAATAGGCATGTGAGTTTCTGAGTGAATTAATGCATAATAGACATCTGAAGTTGGCATCATGCCTATATTAGAAACTCCAGGTCTAAGCAGTTTTATTTATAGGAAAAAGGTGTTTTTAAAAATCGCTGCTGTCATGCTGTGGTAAACAAAAATGTTCCATACCTGATACGTTTTGTCCTGTGTACAATTGCCTCTCAAGTGTCACTAGATCCTCTTAATTACAAGGTAGTTTAGCAACCAAAATAGAAATAATACTATTGTGTGGAGTATTTTGTTGAGGTTGCCAGTGTTATGACATCAATTCAGTGCACAGCAGCTTAGCTTGCATGCCTCAGTATTTGTATTTCCGGCTCCTCAGTGACCTCGTCGTTTACGGGATCTGGTGACATTCAGGTAAACACGTGTACAGCCTATCAGTTTCATTTTTCTAAAACCAGCTTTGACCCCAAGTTTCTGATACAGGCATGATGCTGACAGCAGAATGACAACATGACTTCACAATGACACGATGAGGCAGGTTGGATAAAATGAAGGTGGAACGAATTGGAAGAGAAAGTTTTACAGAGCGCTTTACTACACTGGTTGACATTAAATTTCACACTGTTAAAGCATTTTTGAGTTCATTCAAAAAGAGCACTGCTAGCTTTTAATAACGAATTGTGAGGCCCAAAGCTGTACCTGGAGTTTTCTTTCCTCTGACCTGCCTCTGTTGTTCTCTGTGGTCTGCAGAACGCTTCCCAATTAGCCTTTTAAAAATACAAACACACAGTGTAAGAAGAGAGGCAGCTCCCTGTAAGGAAACTTCTTTTGGTGTCAGGAAAAGCTCTTTGAGAGTTTATTCCATTACTATAACTGCCACTAGCTCTGCGCTCAGTGGTACACATCACAGTACCAGTGGTGGACAGTAACAAAGTAAATGTAATTCGTTACTGTACTTTAGTAGTTTTTCGTGTATCGGTACTTTACCGAAGTATTTCCATTTTGGGTGACTTTTTTACTTTCACTCCACTACATTTCAAAGTCAAATTATCTCACTTTTTACTCCACTACATTATGAGAAATCTGTCGCTCGCTTTATTTTGAGCTTGTTTTGACCTGTTGGTCATTCCAACCCAGTGCAGCACACGGTTCAACGTCAGTGCAGCAGTGTAAAATCTTGGGAGAGTCTATTCAACATAAATGATGGACTAACCTAACTTTGTGTAAATAGACCACAATATAGAAATATGTACACATATGCAGTTGTGACTGATGCGTTTGTTTCTGAATTTACACAAACACTATTTCATTTTATGGTAAATTTATTATTATGTTTATGTTAAGTTTATGTTTATGAACAGAGACCTACAGATGCAGTTTAGTAAAGGAAAACTCATTTGTGAACCTGAGTTTAAAGTTTTTATTAAACTTAAACTTGTAACTAAATTAAATAAATCTTAAACTGAAACTTTGCTTGTTTGTAAAAAGTTATTTCAGAGCCACTCAGTTCTACCTGATGGAAACTGTTTGCCTTCAGTGTTTTGTTCTGATGATAATTTTAATAGACATCAGCGTCACTAATTAATGACATTCTATTAAAAGACTGGTTTACCAAGAGTGACACTGGAGTACAATTACAGAACTGACTCTGTGTGTTTTTCCTTTTCTTTCTTTTCTTTGCCGAGTTGAACAGCTACCCATCCTGTGCGTCTGATGCTGCTGCCTCTTCTGCCTAGATTGGGTGCCACTGCTGCCAGCCCTCTGGACCGGCTTGACCACCATTTAGCTTCATGCTGTGCAACGCCATGCAAGCTCACCCTCACATCCTGACCACACTGATGCTGCTGCTGCATAAACTAAACTAATTAAATTAATCATTTGCTCCACCTGTTTTCCCTGTTTTTTGTACTATAATACTTTATACTAACAATGCTTACTATCCGGTGTCGACCAGAGGAGGATGGGTTCCCTTTCTGAGTCTTGGTTCCTCTCAAGGTTTCTTCCTGTCTCTTAGGGAGTTTTTCCTTGCCACTGTCGCCACTGGAGATGCTTATGGGGGCTCGGACCCGGATTTCTTTCTGTAATGCTGATTTTGTTTTGTTTTGTAAAGCTGCTTCGTGACAGCACCTGTTGTAAAAAGCACTATTTAAATAAACTTTGCTTGCTTGCTATTTTCACCTAAAATGAATTAATAAGCCGAGTCTTGTTGCAAAAATGATAATAGGACATTAGAGCCATAATTAATCTTTTAGTACTTTAAATTTCGATACTTAAGTACATGTGAAGGCAAATACTTTTGTACTTTTACTCAAGTGGAGGTCTAAAGGGAGGAACTTCTACTTTTACTGGAGTAATATTTCACCTTGGGTATCTCTACTTTAACTCAAGTACATGGTTTGTGTACTTTGTCCACCACTGCACAGTACATGCATGTAACAGCCCAAAGTTAATACCTGGGCCTGTGCTTCCTTATCCTACTTTTGGCAACCAATCGTCTATGTGGAGTCCCTGCAGGGTCCCAACTGAAATAATTGTCATGTCATCACATGGCATAGAGCACTTGAATGCTGCATCAACTTGTAGCCAAGACAAGATAACATCATCTCTTACAGGAACTCTTGCCCATTCATTTACCCACACAAACCAAACATAAACTGTAAGTGTCTTCTTATTGGTAACGCTGTTTCTAGTTTCTGCTTGTCCATCACCCTTTTCTCCTACAGCTGTAAGTATCAGTATTAGTCATACTGAAGCAGTTTATACTTCCCACACTTTTTTTTTTTTTTCGTGATAAAGCTGCTGGATGTGAACAATGACCTGGGGCATAAATTGTATGATTCACCACAGCAGATTCAGAACAGAGAATGTTGCATTGTAGACATTGTGTAATAGAGACATGAAAATAAACAAAGAAGTGAAAGTAAGATCCTTTGTCTGCATAAACGTCCCTGACTAAGAGACTAGAGATAATATATTTAGAATGAAGTCGACAGCGTTTTAGGGCCACTGTTAATAAAAATGAAAATATTTGATGTAGAGAATAAAGTCATAATATTTTGAGAATAAAGTCGTAATATTTGGAGGATAAAGTGGGCTGTACTGTAACTGTAGGGGGCTGCCATAATGCGTTGGGGTCTCGGTTGCTGTACTGGCGCCGGAGTTCCACTCACTCCTGTCTCTCTGTGGATCATTCTGATCATCATTCTACTGTCTGTGAAACTTCATGCTCTCTTTGAATGGAGGGTTTCCTGGTGTTAATGCCACTTTAATGTCGTAATTCTACGACTTTATTCTCAGAATATTATGGCTTGATTCTCTAAATATTATGACTTTATTCTCAAACTATTATGATTTTATTCTCAAAGTCTGCTATTTTTATTTTTATTAACAATAAGCAGACAGCAGATCTTACATTCGCTGTTCTCTTCATTTCCATGTCCATACCCCTCTTATTCTGTTTTCCTCTCCATAACTTCATGCTTTTTTCTGCCATCTGTTAAGCTAGGTTATATTCAGCTAGGTTGTTATTATAAAACATGGTGAAAATAAATGTGGTTGAATAAAGATTACTGGCAGGGCTGCAAATTTGGTCCGGCAAGTGGGAGGACCAACATCGAAGAAGCTAACAAAGGCCACAATTAGAACTAGAAAAGTGCATTTCCTGAACATGACGCAGTTTTAAGATAGCGAAGATGTTGCTTTTGAATACAACTGGATATCGTAGTTACAGGCAATGCTTTGTTTAATATGGTCAGCTTGTGTATTCGTGTTACAGTGGAGGTTCTTGAGGGGAACTGTAGCTTTTCACTTTACTATTGCTTTTGTTAGTTTATTGTTTTATCCTTAAGTCTTCCACAAAGCAGCTGAGCTTCAGCTTGGGCTGCTATGGATGGAATACTTCCACTATGTATGTTGTTTTCAACAACCATCCCAAAACACCTAAAATCAGAGGCGTAGCTAAGGAGTGGGCCATCCTGTAAAGAAGCATGGCCACCCTTCTGGCCACCCCAGTTATGGAAAATGAGACAATCAGCCATCATTTATAAAGCATTAGATTAGATTAGATTAGATTAGATTAGATTGTCATTGTGCAGAGTGCAGGTACAGAGCCAATGAAAAGTGCAAAATACAGTATTATTTACATATGAAATGCAGAAGGATGGTATATCGTGGTTAAAAATATAGATATGCAAGTATAAATATAACATACATATATACAGAGTGAGTGGAGAGCGTACAATGAGGTAGTATGTCCTGTGAGAGCAGCATATGTAAAAGATAAGTATGCAGAGTAAACTTGTACAGTAATTAATAATTAGCATTTCTTGCTGTGAGGCTAATTTACTCAGTGAACTGAGGGAATGTGCACTGGGTCCTTCAGCAGTGCTGCTCTGTGAGCTACAATTTTAAGTAGGGTATTCGATGCTAGAATGCATTAACCATCAAAAATGGGGAAACGATGGACAGTTTTGCTTATGCACGGGGAAAAAAACGATGCATCAGTTTCATGTCGTTTTAATACAGTAACACAATTTTATGCATTCATTTCTTATTTTTCTTTGCAGTGTGCCACCCCAATAAAATCTCTGGCTCTTACCTGACCACCCTATTCTGAAAGTTCTAGCTACTTCTCTGCCCAAAACTATCTTGTATGAGTTCAAACACCCCCCCCCCAAGGTTGTGTCAGTGATGTTGGACATCATTTTCTTTAGAAATATATGGGTCTGTCTGTACAGCCATGTTTCTGTGGGTTTGGGTGCAGTGCAGCTGTAAAGTGCTAACGATATAATCTCTAATGGCAAATGACTCACCGTTCATGAAGATATGCCACCTGATTCTCAGGGTGAGGGCTTGTAGGACCTACAGCTGGAGGAAAAACACAGAGTAAACCTCTCTGGCTTGCATTCAAGACTTTCCACTTTTACCTAGATCAGGTGTTATATCTCCAGATTCAGCACCTCAGTTAATAAGATGTCACTTAGTCACCTAAGTGTCAGAAGGGAAATAAGCATAATAATGACATAAGCAAAAAAACATGGTAGTCGCAAACTGATACAAAGCACATCTGTCTCACTGGACGAATGGAGAAACAGCACTGCTCTAAACTCATAGTTTTTTCTTTCTTTGTCCACTTAAAACTCCTTCAAGTTCAAGTCAAGGCTGAGGCAACTGGGTAAAACAAAAAACAACCAACTAATATTTACTCTGTATTGACTAGAAGACTTTAGTCAGTAATAACAGTGAGATCTAATAACTGTACCTGTAAGCAGACCTTGATTCGAGCAGCACTTGCTGTTAATGGGATCCACTGCGATCACTTGGAGATGTGGTTTGTAACAGCAGCATTGCTTGATTGGGTTGTATGACACTGTGCCGCAGCACAAGTCATGGCTGGTTTTCTTAGGCAGAAGGGCCTTCTTGGCATGAGGACCGCAACACAGATGAGACCTCTCCTCGTACAACTCTGTCAAAGAAAGCAAGAATATGGAAGCCATCAAGAGAGGGCATTTACACGTTAAAGAGGAAAGCCACCAGTTTTTTTTTTAATTTCTGCTTAATTAAATGGTTAAGATATAGATTAGATATAAATTAGATATAGATTAGATTACATTAGATTCAACTTCATTGTCATTGTGCAGAGTTCAAGTATAGAGCCAATGGAATGCAGTTGGCATCTAACCAGAAGTGCAAAATACAGTATTATTTACATATAAAGCCCAGTAGGTAACCGTGGTAAGTGATGCTGTGGTTACAATATGTACAGTTGAGGATGGTAGAGAAGTAAAAAAAGATGTGCAAGTATAAAACATAGGCAATCAGAGTGGTTTGACGTAAACTCCCTCTGCTAGAGAAACTAGCAGAGTTACATTTGTTCACACTAGTGGTGATGGAACCAGACGTCTGAGGAGTTTACTGCCTCTAAAAGCTCCCTCATATGACATTATTAAATGAAATGATTATGCGTTCACCGCCTGATACCAAGATATTGTTTTACAACAGTTTTGATAGAGGTTTGTCCTTTTAAATCAATTAAGTTATACTCGGAGAGGCATATGCAGGGCATTGTAGTCAAAGTAGTATGCAAAGAATTTTTTTTTTCCAATTTGGCCAATATTGTACCATTATCGACATTATTTATAAAGCTCAGAAGGCATATGGAGTCAAGTAGTGGTTTTGGATAGTAAATAAAATGGCTATATTTGTGTTGTAGACATTGTAACCCCTGGTTCCCATCACCACCACTGTAAAGAAATAAGTCTGTGAGTTTCTCTACATCATTCTCTACCTTACATTTTCGTGAAAACGACTTGCAATAATACCTTTTCAATCTAAGCTTTATCTGGCGCATCTAAAGCAACCGCCCACTGGTAAAAGTATTGTCCATGATAGTCAACTCTGCATCTGTAAGCAGCAGATATTTAACAAATGAGGCAAAATCCCAGGGGAGCAAGGATTTTAACAGGACTTACATTTGCATAGATATTGAACTCTGAATTGAATCATTCAACAGTGAATACTTGTTTCTTTGTTTTTGTCTCAGAGCTTTTAGTCTCAGTGAACAGTGAACTCTCTTTTACTTTCCACTTGAAATCATGCTATGCCTTGATTTCTGAATCTGTCAGCTTCTCACGCGTCTTCCTTTTTTTTCATTCTTCTACTTCATTTGAACACAGCTACGACGGTGTTTTAGGGCCACTGTTAATAATAATAAAAATAGTAGACTTCGAGAATAAAGTCCTAATGTTTCAAGAAAAAAGTCGTAGAATTACGATATTAAAGTGGCATTAACACCAGGAAAGGTTGCAATATTGTGGCCAAACGCTTTGCAAAGGGAAGGCAGCACCCAAATAGTACCTGCTCTGTGAGGGTCCATGGAGGTCCTGACCACTGAAGAACAGGGTAAAAGTGGACTAACAAAGTATGCAGTGAAACAGATGGACTACAGTCTGTAACTGTAGAGCTACAAAGTGCACCTATATAGTAAGGGGAGCTGATAAAATGGACAATGAGTGTAGAAACAAGGAGGTGGTCATAATGTTATGCCTGATCGGTATATATATATATATATATAGTCACTTCTAATGGTGGTGCACTGTTTTTTGACATGTTGTTTAGTATTATGGTATGTGATTTTGGACAGTGCTACTCTTTCATTCCCCTGAAGGAGGGGTGATAACAGTAGGCCTACCTGATCCACAGCATTTGGTTTGGGTGCTCTTTCTGAGTAGGACGGTTCCTCCACAGCAAATCTGATTGAGCGGGTTGTAGGCCTTTGATCCACAACAATTTGAGACAGTCTGACTCAATCCCAGTGTTAACACATCTGAAGGAAAAAGTCAGAAGCAAACATACAATAGACATTTCAGTATCTAGCAAAACAAGCAAAACAGGCTATAAATAAAACTGGTGGGCTGCCTTCTGTCCTCAGGCACACAGACATACAACATTTAACATGTTACACTCCCTAATTTTAATGTATAGTTTCAATATGGGAAGGAGTTTTAGGAAGTTCATTATTTGAGAAGTTCAGGGGTTATTTTAGGGGAGCAGATACACTGCGTCCAAAAGTGCTCATCCAGTATTCCTCCTCAAACTAAGGGTAATAATAGGAAGTTTGTCCCTCTTTGCTGCAGTAACAGCCTCTGCTCTGCTGGGAAGACTTTGCACTAGATGCCTGAACATTGCTGTGAGATTTGATTGCATTTAGCCACATGAGGTCAGGAACTGATGTTGGATGATTAGTTCTGGATCACAGATGCCACTCCAACTCATCCCAAAAGTAAGGTGGAGCTGACAAAGCTGCCTTTCAAGCCCCGCTTCAGAAAGGACATTGTTTTATTATACTGCATTTAAATATATACCAGTGTATTGACCTACACTGAATTTGAATATATGAAGATATCTGCACAGGTAGATTAAATATATGGAATGGTGTTATTTACCTAGATGTCTGACATGTATATGTAAATAAAATCACCTTATTATTCAGTTATTAGTATTATCATTATTTTCTAGTTCTGCTGTTATTGCTAATGATAGGGAGTGTTGCAGTACTCAAATCTACTCTTGAGACCAAAAATTAATGGTCTCAACATCACTTTTAAATGTATTTCTTTTGATTACCACTAAAACACATAGTTTCACTGGTGGTTTTGGATAGTGAATAAAGTGGCTATAGCTGTGTCTGAAACTGTGCCCTATTCACGTTTTTGAGGCTCCACCTGTAAGGGCCCAGCCTGTGTTGCCAGCAGAGAGCGACGGCGGCAAGCTGCCGTAAGTTCAGGGAACTCCAATTCCCAGAAGCCATCGGGCTGATTAGGCCCAACCTGGCACACCTGTGGACTCCTCTACTTAGGGCTGTGGCAAACAGCAGCGCTTTGTCACACCTTTGTACAGGAGTGACCGTACGGTTCTTAGCCCAGGTGGGTATTTAAACAAAAAGAAAAGAAAAGAGGGATGGAAAAACAAAAGAGAGAAATTGCCCCAAAACTACTTAAAAACCAAAAGTAGGCTTGAGCAACAAACAGTTCCAAGCCATACAAAAGGTGTTTGCTCCACAAAGAGCAAACAGGCGAAACATAGAGCTGATCTTCCTCTCATAATTACAGAGGAAGTATTTTATGTTTTCTGATTGTCTTTTATCTCACTTTTCTGTCTCAGCCTTTGTTTGAGCACGCCTTTGATTGTCTTTTTCCCGCCCTTTTTATTTCCCATTTGTTGAGGTGTTTTTCCCATTTTCGTCTGTGCTTCCCGGTGGCGCCGCGGTAACTCCTCGGACCGCCGTCCAGTATATCGGATGTTTGAGCCACCTCAACCCCAACGTGCACAATCACTAAACACATACTCCGTCGCCTCAATAAACTAATTTAAGACCCTTTCTCACGGGTTTTGCCCTCTGCATTTGGGTCTGCCTCCCTGCTGTCCCTTAACACCACCATTTTGTAGTGATGTCCTAAAACAATGTAGAAGATTCAGTGCACTCAAACAATCCCACAGTGCTCTGCAACAAGAAGTGTACAACCGATGTACCCGAGGGGATGGGGGATACCAATAATGCACAATGTTTGGTTGGCAAATCCAGCAGCATCTACACAGAGCTCTCTTTAGACCTGTTACAGATCTAAGTAAGCTCTTCTCTTGTGTGCAGTCAAGCTCAGCAGTTATAGTGGACTGGTGGCATGACGTTTACAGTGGTCATGCGACAGAATCTTCTGGCTTACGGTATTGAGCAAACCCTTAAGACATAGTGTCAAATTGTTTACTACCATCACAAATTCTGTTATATTTAGCAATCCAGATTTCTGAATGCAGGGTATAATGATTCGGACATGGCATATATTTGCATTGTAGGCATCGCGGCCCCTGGTATGACCACCACTCTGAAGAGAACTCTGATGGTCACATCACACCAAACCCCCCCCCCAAGGTTGTGTCAGTGATGTTGGACGTCATTTTCTTTAGAAATATATGGGTCTGTCTGTACAGCCATGTTTCTGTGGGTTTGGGTGCAGTGCAGCTGTAAAGTGCTAACGATATAATCTCTAATGGCAAATGACTCACCGTTCATGAAGATATGCCACCTGATTCTCAGGGTGAGGTGTTTTTTGTTTTTTTTTCATTTTTGAAAAATGTAGGAATCCCATTTAGTGTTCCCATCAGGGTGTAGTCTGTTTCCCCTCCACCCAGTTTCTAGTCTCTTCATTTCAGACTTTGGGTGTGTCTCACAAAGCAAGTTCAACCGACAGACAGGCTTCCTGTCTAAGTTTCAGCTTCACAAAGTCAAGGTTAACTCATTTTACAACAATGGTTAACAACTTTCTCTGTTCATCCAGGTTTAGATACTCAGGCTGGGATTAATCCTTGTGCACATGCATATGAATGCGTAATGTTTATGATGAACAGCCAATCGCGTGACACTTGAGGAGTTGTACAATTTTTCATGTGATCAAACCCTCTTCAGTGTCATGAGGCATCCACCTTCGCCAGTCCCTGATCGATCAGAAGCTCGGTCTGATTGGATCCGAAAACTGAAGCAGGTTAGGCGTGCAGCATAAGTTGCCATGGTGATGTATTGCAGTGACCCACCATTGTGAAACAGGGAAGTCAGGGTTAGCCTGAACTTAAAGCTTAAAGTTAGCTGGCTATGAAAGAAATCCTGCTTTGTGAAACAGACCCCAAGTATGTCCAGTCTTATGTCTTTCTTGCATTGATTTGTTTCCGTCCATCTTGTGTTGCAGCGTATGGTTTATGTGCCGTCTCTTTTACTAATATAAGATTAGCAGAAATTTTATTAATAATATTTTGGATTGTCATTTGATTTTAAACCACTTGGAGTAAAGAGTTCTATACAACATTTTTAGAATTGTCTTCTAATGCCAGTATGGCTGCCTATTACCTCTCTGTGCAGCTCTTAGAACCCTGTAATAATTTTGTGAATTTTTGTTGGTATTTTGTTCAATTATAATTTGACTAATTACATCAGTGAATTCCCAATGGGGAAGTAGGGACAGTGAGTTCTGTTGTTTATGATATGTGTATAAGGTCTGTAAGCCACCCGTTCCTGAGTTATCCTATTCTGACAGGATTAGTGATTTTGTCCCATCCGAATGTGCCATGTCAGTAATTTTTACCAACTCCCATGTCAAGTTCCTGGTGCCTTTTACCTTCTATAAAATGAGTAGTAGGAATAACCTCAGGTTGTATTGAGCTCATGTGAATCAACATGTTAGAACATGTAGTTTGATAAAGCTGTCAGATATCATAATGATGTGATAAATTATCATTGATATTAATGTTATTTTGTATTACATAGGCAGACAAAAGAAATGTGTATGTGTGTGTGTGTGTGTGTGTGTGTGTGTATATATATATATATATATATATGATTATGATAACAATCATGATAACAATCGTAATGCAGTTTTACAGGCTTTAAGTTCAGGATTGGGTCATTTCTGAGCAAGTGGGTGTTTTGTAATTGCATGTGAAGGTTAAGAGAACAGGGTGACGTTGATTGCTGGCTGTGACTTCCCAAGCTAATGACACAGTGCATTCACTTAAACTGGAGACCGCAATTTGCGGGCAAAACAATAGGTCACTTCTAGCCTTCATAACTCCAGAACGGTACTCCAGAATGGAAGATACAAACATGATCCGCATATCAGGACATTCAGCAGCATTCGCCCCTAACTAGCAAGCATGACGTCACCGGGCTGTGACGTCAGCATCAGTGAGTAATTCAGCTTGGAAAATCCTGAAATTATTGATCTGCTGTTTGGCCTTTATAATCAGATGACTCATCAGACTATGATTCACCATCCAGAGTGATTTCATCCACCTGTGACCGTCCATCAGCCAAAGATCCAGCTCCAAAATCACCCAAATCCACTCGCTACTGTTATACTACATCTCTGCTTTTAGCCTTCATATTATAAACAAAGGGCTTTCAGTTTACATTGATTGAGTATTAAAAATATATGATATGCAACTCAGTTCATAATTAAAAATAAAGCCAGTCTTGCTGTGTATGAGTTTTAGCACTCAGCCTGAATCCAAGAGGACAGAAAATCAATAAAAACTTGTCCGTCTTATGCTGTTTATTTTTACTCATATTAACCAAAAGAATGAATCACCATCAAAATTATTGCACTTTCAGCTCACAGACACTCCAAACTAACAATTTCTGAAAAGATAACTACTTTTCCACTTGTTTTCAAGATTTCAAGACCCTATAATTAAAAAACTTATAATTTTTGATCAGAAATGACCCAAATTCATAAAGCTATCACATTTCTGTTAGCATTTACATGTTAAAAAAGGGCATATTTGAGTAGCCCAGGGTCTCCTGAAAATAACAACATATGGTATGTGTGACTGTCACATGTAAATTCTTTTTCATTGTAATTGACCCAAAAAATACCAAAAAAAAATCCCTGAATCCCTTTTAAGTTTCTAAGGGTTAAGACAGCAGGACTGATGGTTAGGGTGAATGGAGTAACAGCAGAAGTAAATGTTTTAACATGTTTTCTATTCGTATCTTGACCGAAGGCAGTGTTTAAATCAAGAAGCCGCTCCCATCTCTGCCATTTATTCCAAGATTAGTTACGGAGTGGGGCTCGGTCATAAATATTACAGACGGTGTTAAATGACCCCTCCCCCACCACTCTATGGGAAACTAATCCTGCTCACATAACAGGAATTTAACCTATTCTGGAGTCATGGTGCCTAAAAACAGATCTAAAATCAGGTTATGAAGTGCGTTCTGGGTGTGTGTTTTTTTTTGTTTGTTTGTTTGTTTTTTGTTTGTTTGTTTTTGTTTTTTTGTTGTTGTTTTTTTTTGTTTTTTTGGATTACTTTGTCGCATTGGTGGTGAAAGGGGGGCAAGTTCTGTTATGAAGGTTAGAAGCAACCATGCAAGAGTGACTCACTACTCCTGAAGAAATTCTCAGTCCAGTGCGATGCCCATCCCATCAAGAGTTGCAGTTGGAACCTTTTGTGACCTCATTTTTAGTCATTATTGGAATGAATATAGACATGAGGCCTGGCTATTCTTCTCTGTTGTTGTTTTGGTCTTGTCTTAAAAATCCCTGTAGGCTCTCACTTCTAAATTGAAATGGATGAATGTGTGAGGTCAGGGGTGCATGACACGGAGCCAGAGTCCAGCACAGCTATGGTGATTTTTCCTGCTTTAACACACATCTAGAGTTAAGCTGCCCCTAAAATGAGACTGTTTGTAGGCAGAAGATGCTTTGTCTTGTTCCTAACAGATGTTTTTTTTGTATTTGTGGCACATATCAAGTGGTGATAAGTAGCCAATTAAAAATTTGGCAGCAATAAAATACATGTACGCAGCAAAGTGAGTGAATCAAGATGGTGACATAAATGTTGCCTTACTCATGCAGCAAGAACTCTCCAAGATATTGTAGGCAGATTTTCCACAGCAGCTCAGATGAGGGGTCTTATGTATAGTTCCACTGCAGCATGTGTATTTGGTTAGATCAATTAAAAATCCAGCACACCAGTGGCTGAGAGAAAAAAGAAGAGCTGTCGGTTATTCTCATGAACACTTTTATTAAGTATGATGAATTATCTTACACAAAAGCCTGATTTCACTTTTTAATAGAAACAATCATAAAACGCACAATATATGAATGTTTGGGCACCCCTGGTAAAATATGTGTATCATGCCTGGAAGTCAACTCGTTTTTGAGCTATAAAGGCAAGAAATAACCATGCAAAGGCTTTAGGAACAGACAGTTATTAGAACATCTGCATGGAACAAAGCTAAATGTGTCCCACTTCTACAAATCTGAATGCACAATTACCATTTATTTGCTGAATTTAATACACTAGTGTTTTTTGTTTACTAGGTTTAGAATCTTGAATGACTCATTAGACCTTAATCCAAGTCAGGTGCAGTCAATTCCAGAGCATAATAAATTAGGTGACCCTTCAAACTTCTCAAGGTGTTGTGTTTTTGCTTAAGAGCCATTGGCTCATCTAAGCATCTAAGCAGCTGACTGAGGATCTAAAACTAAAGATAACTTACTCTTCCAAAACAAGATAAGTGGACATTAAGGAGGACATTAAGTGGACATCCTTAAATGGACATTAAGGAGAATTGTTAAAAAAGTCGACAAGATATGAAAGACCAAGAAAAATCTATGATTAAGAAAAAATGTTAGATGTGAGGGTGCATCTGTTATGCTTTGGCCTGTGTGGCAGCCAGGGCAAGGGAACAGAATATGGGGATAGAAGAACATATTCCACTAAATATCAGCAAATCCTGAAAGTTAATGTCCTACAGTCGGTGAAGAAACTGAAGAAAATATGGACATTACACCAAGATAATGACCCTAAACACACCTCAAAATCAACCTTGTAGAAACAAAAGGTTAAGGTAATTTTTGAATGGCTTTCACTGTCCCATGACCAGAATATTTTTGCAAATCTGATCTTAAACATGATGCGCATGCAAAATCACCTATGAATATTTCTGAAATAGGCAAATAAGGAAAAAACATTCTAAATCAAGATAAAGACTGGCTACAAGAAAAGTTTGGAGGCTGTGGTTTCTGTCAAAGGGGGTCTTACTAAGTACTGACTGAAAGAGTGCCTAAACTCATACAAAGGCCACATTTTATGTTTTATTTTTTATAACATGATAAATTCAGCAAATGAATAATGACTGTCCATTAAACCTTGCAGAAATGTGTCCATTTAAGCTTCTTCCATGCAGATGTTGTATTAACTTCTTTTCACTTAAAAAAATCAACAAAATGTATAATTTGACCAGCAGTGCCCAAACTGTGTGCATCATTCAACATATTAGTTGTATTTACTCCATCAAATGTATAATATTGATGTAAATTGAGCTTCACAGAATGTCTGTAGTTACATTTGAAGAACTTGAAAAGTCCATTTACCTGGATTCTTCTTTGCAGCAATGAATGACCAAAAAGAAAAAGAAATGATTACTGTTCAGTCATGGAAAACAAATGCAAAATAATGGTTAATACAGAAGTTCTTTTACGGATGTTAATTGCCAAAAAGAAAATGGTAGAAAAACAGTAGAATCTGAAAGTATTTGAACAGCAAGGCCATTTTTTCTTTTTTCCATACATTAAAGACATTTTGGTTCAAGATTAAAAGATGAACATGAGACCATCAGAAGTTCAGTTTTCATTTTGTGATATTTACATCTAGATGTGTTAAACAACTTAGGCCATGGCACCTTTTGTTTACACACATACAAGGTCATCAGTTGAGCATGGTGGAGTGCCATGGCTTGGGCATCATCATGCAGCAAGACAGGGACCCAAAACACACGGTCAACACAACAAAGGACTTCATCAGGAGAAAAACGTGGAAGACTGGCCAAGTCAATCGCCAGACCTTATCCCAATTGAGCATGCATTTCTCCTCCTGAAGAGGAGGCTGAATGAAGAAACCCAAAAAGGCAAATAACAACTGAAAGAACCTGTGGAAAAACCTGGAAAATCATCACTAAACTAAAAAAGCCAAAAGTCAATGGATCGCTGGTTTGATGCAGTTATTACCAGCAGAGGATACGTGACCATAAATGAAATGTTATTCACTTTAATTTCCTTTTAGACTATTTGCTTTTATACTTTTGCTCACTCAAAAATTGGACGGTGTGCCATTATAGGTTTTTAAAAATGGAGAGTGTCATACACTGAACATCAGTCTTTTACAGAATTTCTCGTTTTTTTTGTGAGGCCCGCACACTAGATGAGAACACAAAAAGGGGGTTATAACACACAAAACTAGTTTCGGCTACAAGAAAGCACGGTCCCACTTTATATTGTCTCCAATAACTATGTAGTTGCATATGAACAACATATGCAGCAATGTAACTACTACTGATTTAGTTACAGATGGATTACAGAAGTACACCTTATGTAATTATACATGCGTATCGACTTCAGCTTTGCCTCATGTATCTCATTGCCAAGTGTATCTTAATAGTTGTAAGGGCCTGTTCTCTCTCATGTAATTACACAAGCGTAATAACATTAATTACAGTTGTAATCAGACTGGAACAGCAGTTTGTTTTGTTTTTTTTTCCAGCAGTAAAAGGATGTAATAAATTACATTAAGACATTATTTACACTGTATCTGCCAGCTTTACTAACGTTTAGCTAGCATTTATGTTGCAAGTGCTGTGACACTGTAACCAGATAGAGCTTTAAACTGTATGTATATGTAACAGTGCAGAAACTTTTACAACATTAATTAAACATGTTGCATTATATTACCCCTAAAGCAATGTCATTATTACACAGTACCTACATAGCAACTACACAGGAACTGCCCACTTAATTTGAAGTGTAACTTTAGCACTACACTACAGGAAAGTTCCTGTGTAGAAAATACACTTGTGTAATTACATGAAGCAAAACTGAAGTTGATACATGTGTTTAATTACACAGGCTGTACTTCTGTTATCCATTTGTAACATTGACTAAATCATCAGTAGTTAGTGTTGCATATGTTATTCATGTGTAACTACACAGTTATTAGAGACACAATATAAAGGTGGACCGAAAGCTCTTAGCACATGATACAAACAGAGCTTAACTGGACCTGTTTGTGCTTTTATGCAAACACAAGAAGCATAGCAAGAACACAAACTGGGGAAGAATATGTGTGGCTGAGAAACACAGGTGCAACAGTTGGAGCTATAGAGAAATATTTTACTACTAATTGCCAGCTGATTTGAAATGGTAAAGAAAGTGACTCTTTGCCTGAACTCAGCTCCTCGTAAGCATCTCCACACGTGGCACGCATCCTTTCACCTTCTTTCCTCTCTTCTAGCTCTTTCATTGGCTGCTTCCTGAATTACTTGTTCTGTTACGTTTCTGACCATTTCTGCTTGTTCATAAAGACAAACATATTTGAAAAGTATCGGGATCACAGTCACTCCGGAGCTTGACTGGAAGGCTGAAGATTGCCTCATTTCCATTCTCACGCTACCAGATCATCCGCACCATGAACTGCTTAAGAGCTCCTGACCTGAAAAATTGCTCCAGACCACTTTCAGTTTTGGAAAATTTGTCAGAAGGGTCATATTGTGTGTAGTGTAGGCCCAGTTTAACTGAAAGTATGGGTTCTGAGTCATAAAACTATCAGACATGACAAAATCCTGCTGCATGGCCATGAGTTAATAAGGCATAGGAATCAGATAATTAAGTTGTGGACACGACTTAGTAGGGCAGAGGGACAAAATCCTGCTGCATTGCCATGATCTAATAAGGCGTGGGAACAGGATAATTAAGTTGTGGCCACAACTTAGTAAGGCATGGGGACGAGATAATTAAGTTGTGGCCACGACTTAGTGAGGTGTGGGGATGAGATCCCACTGTGTGGCAACAACTTAATACGGTGCAGGAACAAGATAATTAAGTAGTGGCCAGGATTTAGTAAGGCAGAGGGATGAGATCCTACTGCGTGGCCATGACTTTATGAGGCGTGGGAACGAGATCATTAAGTTGTGGCCACGACTTAGTGAGGCAGAGGGATGAAATCCTGCTGCATGGCCATGACCTAATAAAGCATGGGGACAAGATAAGTTGTGGCCATGATTTAGTAAAAGGCGTGGGGACAAGATCCTACTGCGTGGCCACGTCTTAATAAGGTGTGGGAACAAGATAATTAAGTTGTGGCCACAACTTAGTAAGGCGTGGGGACCCGATAATTAAGTTGTGGCCACGACTTAGTGAGGTGTGGGGACGAGATCCCACTATGTGGCCACAACTTAATATGGCCCATGTATTAATAATATAATAATTCCCATGTGTTAATACGCAGTGGCCACGCGTTATTTTTACTTATACAGCATACCACCAGCAGGGCTCCATAGCTAAAATATTATTGGTTAGTATAATTTTTCTCTTTTCACTGATGCAATCAATATTAACTATACTTTGATCGAAGATTACAGAGAAACAAAAATTTGTCAGCAATTTGTGAGAATACAAAAGAGTGAATACGTAGAAACTGAGGGAAGTAGTTGTTGGATACCATGTGGCTTATGCCTTGTAGCCGAAGGCAGTCCAGCATACGCAGGCTTGCCTAGTCATGTTTTTGTTTTAATAATAAAGTAATTTAGCGCTGGGCATGAGCTGTTCACATTCTCTCTAACCCAGAATAGCGAGTCTGTCTTGTTTGCTCCTCTCAACACCTGCCAACAGTAAATTTCGTTACTAGAGCTTGAACACAAGTGGTTTTTTAAGACACGTTGCTGGTATCAAATTCAAAATATTTTTAAAAAATAGTGATATTTCTCAGTTTCAACATTTGATATGTTGTCTTTACACTATTTTCATTGAATATAGGGTGTAAATGATTTGCACATATTTGCATTTTGTTTTTATTTAAATTTTGCACAGCGTCCCAACTTTTGGGTTGTACTATCTAAGTCAGAGAGAAAATTATAACACAGAAAACAGAGTGGGTGAAACATTGAGAAAAAAGAAGGAAAATAATGTAAAACAAATTCTAAAAATTACTGAAAATAATAAAGCAACTGAAATTAATTAAACAACACGTTGTGGCACTTAATAAGAAAATAACAAATAAGCAAATTAAAACAATTAAATTCAACATTTAATAAGAAAACATCAAATGAAAAGCAAAAGTAAAGCTGCACAGTAGTCCTGTACTTATCTTAGACATTACTGTGCAGCATATTGACATAAATAGACTGAAATATAAGAATGTGTTACTCCATTAATGGCTTTAAAAACACATTAAATAGTATTCTATTAGTATACCAATGAAGTGCTGCCAGTGCTGGAGTGATACATTCATTTCACAGTGTTTGAGTAAGAACATTCTCTGCCGTGTTCAGTTCAACCTGTGGTCAGTCTGTGGTCTGTTGGATAAGCCACCGAGCAAAGCCTTACAGTAATCTAAACAAAAGCATGAGTCAGCTCCCTGTGAGAAGCCCTGACCTCAGCAGTGTTTATAAGATGAAAAAAAAACCTCAAACATGTTTGATATTTGCTTGTCTAACCACTGCTAAAAAGAATATTATACATAATTGTTTCAATCCAAATATACGATTATCACAACATTGGTTAGTAATCTATTATTATATTGCTTCCTTTGAGCAGACTGCTGCAGTGATAAAGAAAGAATCCCCTGAAACTCATCCTATACTTCTATACTTTTCTCAGTTGGTGAGACAGTCACTATATCTGTGCTTTCATTGACTGTAATTTTGACTGTATTTATTCATGTTTGATTGCATTAGAGAAGAATGTAAGCTACATCATGATATCTGTTAAAAACAAAAATAATACAATTTGATCACAATAACTGTTTTGGTTGTGCTATCAGTGTGTAATAACACCATGTCTCAATTCACATTCAAATTCTGTACATGATTCATAATTTTCCTCTGTATACAGTAGATCCAGTAAGTAGAATTTCAGTTTGTCCTCATTTATTGAAATTTGGATGAACAGCTTTTTTTTGGTACTGGACAAACCATTAACTATGACCATGACCTATTTTGTTTAAGTGCTACAGAAATGTACAGTGATGTGTCATCCATAACCGTCAGACATTGACTCCATGTTCTCTAATGAAATGGCTGAGTGGCAGGAAACAGTATATAATGAAAAGAGGAGTGGCCCGAGGTTAAATCATTGCCAATACAGCAAATACCATGGTTTCCAGATACAAATTAACCAGGGGTTATAAAATACTGTCTATCAGTCAGACACGTATGAAAACGATTTGGGCATTTCCAGTAAGTCCAATCTAGTTTTCACGTCCGTCTAAAAGTAAATGGTGATCTACAGTGTCAAATGCACCAGTAAGTTCCAAAAGTGCATAGACTGGATTTTGTTCTCTTCTGACTCTCGTTGGAAGTCAACTACTATTAATTATGACTTTTATGAATCTGACCCTTTGTGTTTCATTAGTGACATGAAAACGGGAGACAGTATTTTGAATAAAATCATTTCAACCCTATAAATTGATTTTTATGCATATGTTTCTTATCAGTATCTCGGTTAATGCCTTGAGTGACTTTTTGATCATCTGGGCCTGTGCAATCCTAGATATGGTTTGAGAGAAGTTTTGGGCATGTACTTACGCGAAAATATTTGGGTGACTATTCTAGTGTTAGCAGCATTAGCCTCGTAGCAAACTGTGGATACCATGCCTTGACTACATCTGGAAGTGAAAAATTGTGTACATTTTGATTTTTTCCCCACCAAACCATTCTTTTAAGGAACTATGTAGTAGTTGTTGATCACATAATGTTACTTTCATAGTATTTCATTACGTCATTAAAAATTATCACCCATTACCATTTTGTAGGCAAGCTGTAACTCTGACTACCATCATTCTAGTTGTATGGAAATTGGAACTGATAAGTTTCTCTAGAGTGAACCATTTCACAACTAAACACTGAATCACCTTCTTTGTTTATCTCAAGAACTGATTTTCTCTTTTTTAAACCCACTTAAAGGAAGTGGCAAGTTGGGGGCAGGGAAAAAAGGGGGTTGGGGAAAAATACACCACTAAATACAAACTGAATGCTAGATCCAATATTAGGCATTGTATTAAAAATAAAAATGCAGATGTCTCACAATATGCAACTTTTGTTGCGGCAGTTGTTAATGCAGTTTGATTGGACTATTGGCACATTAAAGGGGAATTTTACCAATTTTCCAAAATTTTTGTGGTTTGACCCTGAATAACAAAGTCACTGTTGGTCAGTGGTTTGATGTAAAACAGTTCATTGGTGGGAAACCTACCCACTTCTGCTGGTGGTGATAAAAAGCAAGAGTCACTATATATGCACTGCCTGGCCAAAAAAAAGGTCATGACCCAGATTTAACTAAGCAAATAGGTAAGAGCCTCCCATTGGATAATTACTGCATGGGTGATTATGTTTCAGCTGGCAACAAGTTATTTAACCCTAACTGATGCAGTGAGTAGCTTCTCATTTGTTAAACAACCATGTCGAAAGACACATCCTGTGGTCGTGGAAACGATGTTCATCTGTTTCAGAAGGGTCGAATTATTGGCATGCATCAAGCAGAGAAAACATCTAAGGAGATTAGTGCTAATATCAGGTTAAGAACTGTCCAACGCATTATTAAAAAGTGGAGGGACAGTGGGGAAACATCATCTTCGAGGAAGGAATGTGGTCGGAAAAAAATCTTGAATGATCGTGATCGGCGATCACTTAAACGTTTGGTGAAATCAAATCGTAGAAAAACACTAGTAGAACTCAGGGATATGTTTAATAGTGGAAGTAAGAGCATTTCCACACGCACAGTGCAAAGGGAACTCAAGGCATTGGGACTAAACAGCTGTGTAGCCTTAAGAAAACCATTTATCAGTAAGGCTAACGGCTTCAGTTTACTAGGGAGCATAAAGATTGGACTCTGGAGCAATGGAAGAAGGTCATGGGGTCTGATGAGTCTAGATTTACCCTGTTCCAGAGTGATGGGCGCATCAGGGTAAGAAGAGAGGCGGCTGAAGTGCCTACCGTACAAGCCTGTGGGGGCAGTGCTATGATCTGGGGTTGCTGCAGTTGGTCAGGTCTAGGTTCAGCAACGTTACGTGCCCAAAGAATGAGTTCAGCTGACTACCTGAATATACTGAACGACCAGGTTATTCCATCAATGGATTTTTTCTTCCCTGATGGCACGGGCATATTCCAAGATGACAATGCCAGGATTCATCGGGCTCAAATTGTGAAAAAGTGGTTCAGGGAGCATGAGACATCATTTTCACGCATGGATTGGCCACCAGTCCAGACCTGAACCCCATTGAGAATCTTTGGGATGTGCTGGAGAAGACTGTGCACAGTGGTCCAAATATCCCATCATCAATACAAGATCTTGGGGAGGAATTAATGCAACTCTGGACAGAAATAAATGTTGTGACATTGCAGAAGCTCGTGGAAACGATGCCACAGCAAATCCGTGCCGTAATCAAAGCTAAAGGTGGTCCGACGAAATATTAGAGTGTGTAACCAGGCAGTGTGTTCCTAACCATTACATGTAATAACTTTCTATGAGGCAGCTTTTAGAGGTGGATGTCTGGTTCCCATCACCACCACTATGAACAATTCTGGTTCTGCACTTTTCTCTAGAGTGTTGCATTCTACATCTGAATACTGTATTTACAGCTTAACCATTTAATTATGCAGAAATGTAAAAAATAAAAAAATCTATGCAATTTCCCTTTTAAAGATAATAAAGTCATCTAAACGAGGTAATCTGTAACAAAAAATGCATGTAAAAAGCAGTGTTGCAAAATTGGCAAAATTGCAAAGGTAAGAACTTTCTGGTGAAAGTAAATATATACTGAAAGCCAGTTCATACTAGTGTACAGGTTTTTTCAGTTGTGAGAAAACCTGGAGTGATGGGAATAAGTGGGTAACACTTCTGAATTGTGTTTAGCTGAATATTGAAAGATCTCTGGTTACCAGGCACTTATAGTACTTATTCACCACGTATTTGCACTCTAGACGTTGCAGCCCCCGGTTCCCATTACAGCCATTGTTTTGAAATATGAACCAGAGAACGATTTCGCGTCAAAACAATCTGAACGGCTTCTTTGTTTATCTCAGTGACTGAATTTTGGTGGGATTCCCCTATTAAGTGGGTTTGGAAAGCAACCAGATCCTAAATCGTTGTTTACTATATTTAAAACTGCTCCAGAGAAGATCAAATGCCTGTGTAAAGGAAAAATCAGGAAATGGTGCTAAGGCACATGTAGTGAAGAGAACGAGGATCCGTGACTGAATTACATGAAAAACAGCTGCCAATACTAAACCACAGACAGTAGCAATTATATCAACTGACTGACTGACTAAGCAGTTCAAATCTAAAATTTTTGTAAATGCTTGCTTACCTTGTGTAGAAAAAGAAGTCCAAAAGCACATGATAATTCCACCAGCTGTTATAAGGAGAAACCAGGATTAAAAACAAGATTAAAAGATGAAATCATTGGTCTAGATAAGGCATTATGTTTGCATACCATAATAAAAAATGCAGCAGCGCATCCTTATCTACTTTCACAATGGGAAGCACCTTGAACAGAGCTCGAAAAACTAATACAAAAGGGAGACCTTCCCACATTCGCTTTTAAATACTGAACACGCCCCTTGACAACTGCAAGACAGACATATTAGGCACTTTGGGTTGGATTTTTAGATGTAGAGAAACCACAGCACATGTGTGTGTATACATCTGTCATCAGATTTTCTGTGAAAATTATGCCATAGTGTTCATGTATTTATATCTGAAAGCTGTCTATTTGTATAGAGAATTAGTAGGTCTGAATAGTCTGACTACTACTGAATAGACTACTGAATAGTCTGCTGGTCCTTTCTTTTTCTTCTTCTGTAAGCTGGAGGCAGATGGGACCATCTTAGCGAGGCCTTTATGTAAATCTAATTTTACACTGCAAGTTTCTGATTTACAGGATTTACAGGAATTCACAAGTCAGCTAGAAGGAAAATCCAAAGTGCTGTGAGATTTCATTTTTGCACTAAAGGATTTGGATTGTGCCAGGATATGTGTGTATATTCCATACTACAGATCTGATCTGGTTTTACCATTCAAGTATTTATAGTATTCCAATGATGTCACACACTCGCACGTGAAGTTCGGTCAGCAGCGGCGGTTTGTAACGACATGATAAAGCCATAACTGATGCAGAAGTAAAGGCAGTACACTGTTTTTTGAACACTCAATTTGTCTCATTTAAAAATGCATTAACCAATATATTTCAGTGTATTGCTTTCATTTATTTATTTTTGTTGTGTAGTGATAAAAGCCAAAATCTAAATGGCTCAGATTTCAGTGTTACTAATACCACGTCTCAAACTGCATACTAGAACACCAAACAGTGTGTAAAAATAGCACAGTATCATTTAGAAGTGCACTCATTAGTATAGAAGTGTGTGGTTTGAGATGCAGCATTAGATCAGCCAGCGAGAAGCGTTCATCAGTCCAGCAGCTCCAGTGGCCGATTATAGCTTTGCTGTGCCACTTAACATTTCCAAGCGAAAGTTTAAGGTAAAGAGTGATTCAAAAAGATTCATCTGATTTCAAAATGATTGATTTCTCTTGTAAATCATTACAGATCAATGCACTAAACTGTAAATGGTTTAAATGAGCATAAAGTTTATTATGTAGTTGTACAAGGTCTCAGTGTGAACCTCCTCCAGCTGTACAGACAACATCAACACCATAGTCAAATTCATCTCATACTCGACTGAGCATGTCGGGTGTAGCTGCACTCGTGGCTCTTTCAGTGCAATTTCAGAGATCATCCAGTGTTGTTGGAGTGGCACATAAACAGGATCCTTAACGTACCCCCACAAAAACAGTCACACGGCGTGAGATCTGGTGATGCTGGTGAGCTTTTTCTTGGAACTGATGGTACCAACGACGAACGCTCTGAGCTGTTGGAGGTTCACTGCCAGACTGACAGTCAGAAATTCTATGACCCCCTCTTACAACTGGTATTCCCTCACAGCTCCCACACGGACAGCCGGACCCTCACCACAGGAAACACTACAGCTCAGCTGGCTGGGTCATTCAGTCATTTTAAACTTTTACTCTCTAACCACCGCAACTCTGCCTCACACTGTTTTACTTATATTTGTACTATTAATGCCATTATTTTCATTATTTTATTAATTATTTGCGTGTTTATTTATTACTATTCGTGTTCTTATTTTAATTATGATTATTTTTTTATTAATTTAGTCTTTTTAATAAATGTTTAGTTTACTTTTTGATCTTATTCTCCTTTTATTTTATTTTGATTTGATTATCTTTTACATTTTAGCTATGTTTTAATTATTGTTTTATATTTTTATTGTATTTTTATGTATTTGTATTATTAAGGTTTCGTTTTTTTATACTTACCTGATTTATTTGATATCTTCTTAACATTATCAATCCCTTGTTCTGTATCAACTCAGCAGCATTGTAAATGAGGGTCACCCTCAGTGTTCTCCAAGATTAAATAAAGGTTGATTCATTGATTGATTAATTGATGTCATTGGTTCCTAGGCGCCTCACGGTTGTGAAAGTGTGCTGCTTTAAAATCGGATGAATCTTTTTGAATCACCCTGTATTTCTTGAGTAAGTATGCATTCACTGAGGTAAACTGATGCATGTACAGAGTTGAGCTGATGTTGGTTTCTCATTTGCCAGCTTCATTTTCAAAATTTATTCTCTGCTTAAGGCACCTCAGTGTAACTGCAGCACCATTTAGGGCAGGTTTGGAATAAGAAGCCAGTTTTGTGTACACTGTGGTGTCAGCATAGAGTAAGACACATTGAGGCCATGAATCTGCTGGGAGAAGTGCTCTTTATTAAACAACAGGGCAGAAAAGCACATATGCAATACCAAACACAGGGGGGGAGGTCACCATCAGCCATACACTTCACCCTCATGGTGACCCCCCCCAACACACACACACACACACACACACACACACACACACACACACAAACAACCCAGACATCAGACACAAAATAGCATAATTAACTCATATACACATCTTTAACAAACAATAACAACAATATTTTAAGCTCCTCTTTCAGGAGGGCGCACACCTGAGTCTCTGCGTGTGGCCGCTCGCATGGCCACGCCTCCCGAGCTCCTCAGAGTCAGCACCAACCAGAAGCAGGTCGCAAAAATAGGTATATATTATATAAGTGCTTTAGCAGTTTCAGCAGCCACATTTATTAGTTTTTGTGAAATCTCACGCACTGGAATGTTCTGAACTCTGGAGATGTGCAGGTTACACAGATTCAGTCCACCAATCTAGCTGATCTTCTCCTTGTACCATTTTCTGGAGTCTGCATGCTAAATATACACATATCTTTTCATGTTTTGTTGTGTTCATTCAGGTTTATTTTGCTTGTTCTTCACCTGCAGGGCTGTAGCTGCAGCAACAGTGATGAGACAGACCATACCAAAATGAGATGTGGCGTTCCTAATGACATAATCAAATACTATGAATGTAACAATTGTGATGTCTTCAACAACTATTACATATTTCCGTAATATAATGGTTTGGTGGGAAAATAATCAAATTTACATTTCTCTGGATGTGGTCAATCAGCCAAGATGTCTTTGGTGCCCACATTTTGCTTCTTTAGTTTAACATTGGAACTATGAGGCTCACGTTGCTAATTATAGAAGTCAATAGTCACCCAAATCTTTTCTTTCAATACATGCCTAAAATGTGTCTCGAACCACATCCAGGCCCAAAACATTAATTAGAGATGATGATAGTAAAAAGTAACGGTAAAAAAACTTCTTTTAAAAACTTTTTAAAAAGTCACTGTGGCAAAGATTTATGTGCCGGTGTCTTTTTAACGCTCTGGTATTTTCACAGGTGTCCTAGGCAAAAGCCAATCAAAATCCACATGTAATTGAGGTCATACATATTAAAGACCCCATGGCAAGCGAAGCTGACTAAATAAACACGGTAAAAGAAACAAAAAACAAAGAAAGCCAACATTCTCAGAAAGAGAGCTGCAAATTTTAAGGGAAGACTGATTACAAGGGTTATTACAGTCATTTGTGTGCAAAAGATGCGTTTAACTTTTTCATAGTTTCTTAGAAAATGGTGTTGTTGCTATAAAAAAAATCCACTTATCTAATAATTAAGGGAATTATATTTTTGCATGTACGATTTTATTTCTCCTTCGGGAAGAAATGAGAATGAATCTTCCAATTTATTGTAATTAAAGTAATCATTTCTACTAGCATGAAGTTTCACATGTGCTGTTTTAGCTTTTTTAATTGTCCTGTTTTTTTTATTATCTCAACATGTGAAATCAGTCTTCACTTACTTGGATTACAGGCAAAGTCGGCTTTCCGCATGCAGGAGGGATTAGACAAACATGCAACCTGATGCAGGAAGAAGAAGCTGTTTTAAACATGATGCCATTTGTCATGCTGTTCAGTCCAAACAGATCAAATTGTGTCTTTTGATCATATTGGTTAATCAGCTTTGTGTTTGCATGTGTAATTTGTTGTATGTGTGACCAAAACTGTTTGGAAATAGTGTAGAAAAGATTGTAGCATCCTGCTACCGACCGAGCAGCCATGAGAAGCTCAGGAGGCGTGTCTACGCAGGTGCCTGTGCGGCGAGGCTCATAAGAGGCGCGCGATTCCCATAAAAAGTGACATTTATGTCGTTAATGTGAGCCATTACTCTCTGTGGGATTGTGTCGTGTTATGAATTACTACCGCCATATGTAAAAGAGAAGTAAAACTCACAGTAATTATTATTTATGAATGAGTAAATGTGTTATCGTAAAGGTATATGCACTTAACATCACTGTAAATTTTTTACTGCATTTAAGTAATCTGGCCCAAAGAGTTTTATTCCATAGTCTGAGTCTTATTTTGGCCACACCCCTGCATTTTAGGGCAGGACGTGAGGCTGCATCCCTGTCCCTCAAGGTGTAATATTAAGAATTGTCTTTACCAAAACATACATTTTCTATAATTAAGTAACACTCCACTCCACCAACACACCACCAACACATCAGTGTTACTGCAGTGCTGAGAATGATCCACCACCCAAATAGTACCTGCTCTGTGAGGGTCCATGGGGGTCCTGACCACTGAAGAACAGGGTAAAAGGGGGCTAACAAAGTATCAGAGAAACAGATGGACTACAGTCTGTAACTGTAGAACTACAAAGTGCACCTATATAGTAAGTGGAGCTGATAAAATGGACAATGAACGTAGAAATAAGGGTCATAATGTTATGCCTGATCGGTGTGTGCATTTCCTTTGCATATGGGAAATTTCATTTGTGAATAATCACATGGTTTATAGACATGTCATTTTGTGAAAAACATGATCATATGGACAGATCACCACAGAAAATGTATCATCACGTGCTATTTAATGGCATGACGTCATGATCACGTCATGATTTAATGGCATGACGTCATGATCACATATTATTCATGTGTATAAATGTGGCTTTAACACTTCATATATGGAATATACGTCTGTAAAGCTGAGGAAGCTGGATGCATCATAATTGATATGTTTGG